TTAGTCCGTATCATCATCATCATCGTTATAAGCCACAAGATGTCCATAGCTGAAGATAGTCTGTATGTTTGCCTAGAATACTTAAGTTTTATAATAATATCATGAGACATACTAAATTATTTCGAGCCGCGACCGCGCACGCTGCTCATGAGGAAGAACCCTTCTGTGGTTCGAAACTAGTAGAGCTTTTCTCAGTATATTCACGTAAGTTACTCGCGATTTTTAGTTAATATTAAGTTGTCATTAAAACCGCTATGGCAGTTGTCTAGGTCTTTGGGTAGTCGGAAACCTAAAACAATTTGGACATTTCGGTTTCTAACTTAAAAAATGTTTGGTTTTTGATTTAACTCGTCGAGCACCGCCAATATAGACACAATTAAAGAACAATAGGTTGCGGTCACCGGTGACCGCTTGGTGTATGACAGTTTAATATCTAGGTAAGGTAGTTGAAGTTAGTACCTAAGTGTTTAAGTTTTGTATTTTTGACAAGAATTGGCCAGTTAATAGGGTCAATACCAAAATAGACGAAAATTTAACTCTGAGGATCCGGCTTCTGGCCTGGCTAAAATTTAATGTAAAAGCGCAACTAAAATCTCTAATCTTTGGCAGAAAAGCAGAGTAATTAACTCGTGACTATGTCTCATATAACTAAATATAATTAAATATAACAAAGCAACACATTCAAAGAGATAAAAACATGACCTTCACAAAGGTCAGTGGGTCAGAAACCCGTTTGATCCTGTTCCTGTTTAGAAAACTTCAGTCTCATATCGTTGGTTACATAACAATAATAATATTATGTTACAGTACAAGGCAATAAATATTGCACACCGACCTTTCGAAGGAGACTATCGGCCCATTTGCTGCGTAGACTGCGCATGATTATGAGCCACTAAAACTAGTCAAACGCTTTCTTCAAATCATAAAAAGAGTGAAGTTTCCGATGGTCCAATTCCCCTCCTGCACTTTTTATCCCCAAATCTCCAATAAGGCCGGCAACTCACATCTAGCGTTGCGACTATTGGTGGAGAAAATCCGACTGTCAATTTGTCGCGCTTTGCCTTAAAGAAGGAAAAGTTTTGTACAAAGAAATGATCGTAATATCACCCAAACTTGTCTCATTCCAAACGTCGATGTGTCATATTTATCGCCGGGAACTGTAATTAGCTGTTTACTTAGGTACCTATGTATGCTAATTAATGATCACATGATTCGCCATAATCGCCACACTCATTATCTTCGACCGGTTTTGGCGAGAATTTACATAAATGCCGAATTTGTAACTCGTTATGTTCAGAGGTGTGTATTGATAGATTAATGTTGGATATTGTTATTCTATGTGAGCTGATATTGTTGTATTCTAACGGTTTACTTGTTTAATTTTGTAATATGTAGTGTCGTTTCTTGCTTGAAAGCGAAACTGTTTTTATTTGTTTGTTACTCTTAAACTGCTGAGTGTATTTTAACGGATTCAGACCCTTTTACAGGAGACTTTTTAAGTGATTTACTACATTGTCATCATTCACTCATCATTGTCAAACCCAGACAGACAACACCTTTCTAAATACACGGGACTAGTGTATACCCTTGATATTTAAGCAACGCTTTTTATCATCAATCTATGCTTAAGAATCTGCCAATGTCAGATGAGAATCACATGGCAAAATATTTAGCAAAAATTAAAACACATTAGTTGAAAAAAACTGACAAATAGTAATTATTGCAAAACGAAACAATTTTATTTCTAACAATTATTGTTCAACTTAATCAAAGGCTTGAGTAAAAACTAAAAAATAGTTGACCGAATGTCCTTGTGGGACCCCAATGGACCGTTTCTTTCACAGGCTCTTTGTACATAGGTAATCACTCCTTTGACCGCGCACAAAAGACGTCTGGGAACATTGTACATTGATATTCACATCTACATACTCCGTTTTATATTTCATTCTTTTGAATGAACTGTTTTATGTGAGATTTTTATAAATAAAAACCTGTTTTGTTGCCGTCCAAAATAAGATTCACTTTTCAAACTGGATCTCTTCTTGACGTATTTTAGCTTTGATTTACCGGTTATTCATCATGTGTATGTATGTATTGTTAAATATGGGAGAGCCATGCTTCGACACGAATGGGCAAACTCGACCGGAATGCCACGGCCTCACAGAAAACCGACGTGGAATAACGCTGGCGTTGTGTTTCGTCGTGTGAGTGAGATTACCGGAGGCCCAATTACTGTCCCTGAATCCCCAATCCTTAAATTCTTAATCCCAAAAGGTAACGCACTTCACACGCCTCTGGTGTTCCAGGTGTCAATGGGCGACGCCGATTGCGTACCATGAGGTGATCCGTCTGCTCGTTTACCAGCTTATCCCATACAAAAATACGATTAAAAACCTTTATTTATTTTATTTTTTTTATTATTGCCTTTAAATTTATTACCTTTAAAACCTTTATTTATTTATTTATACTTTAGTGCACACACAGAAAAAAATTGTTCATCATCATTTACTATCGCTTTTACACACATTAAGCACATTACAAACATCTTCAAGCATATACTGTGCTTCTTAAACCCAATTATGTCTGTCTCCACTATAAACTAGATTCACAATTTTCATAATCGCCTTAATCGAATTACTTAGAGGTATATCCGGAGCAATTTTGCAAAAGGAACCGTCATACAACGTGGCCAGGCGGTCGCCTTGAAATTGATTTTGATAGTCAAACCTTGACTTTTATCGATAAAGATTACTATTACCATTTTAATGATTGTAGAAAATGTTTAGTGATTGTCACGAACTATAAAACCCAGTGATGTAACTACTGTTGTAAAAAGACAAAAACTATCTGGTATATCACAATGTAGTCTTTATGGATGTTAGAAGGTTGAAAGTCTGACATTGGATGTATCGATGCAAATCATAATACTAGGTGAGTTGTGTCTTAGGCGAGTAGATAGATTTTTATTAATTAATCCGTGAATTTACAGTTCATAACCTATCAAATTATTAATGGTCCTTTTTAAGACTGGGGAAATCTTCTAGCTAATAGACATATTTTAAAAGACAGACCACAATGAAGCACTGATACACTTAGCGCTACAATCAGTTGTTGTTATAGATATTAGGTGTACCTAAAGTTGTAAAATAAAACGGTGTTGCCTTGGAAAACCAACATTGAAACTAACAATGTTTAATTTTATACAATATCGTATTAATAGTACTTAATATTTAATAGCTAGTAACGTTCATTAGCAAGTGATACTCTGGATAATTACAAGGTATCCTAACTCAGTAATTTCATGAACATCACCTAATCTAAATGGGAAGTTAATTAACGTCGGGACCGTGTGGGCGTTTATTAGGGTTTGATACTGTGACAGATAATTAACGAGCGTTCCCTAATGAAAGTCTTAAAAGAGTGTTCATCGTAGCTACAGCTTACTATGTGATATCTGAATTACGAGTCTAACTATTTTGCAAACAAAGATCTTAGGTTAAAATTATAGTTTCCTATTATGTTGATAGGTAAAGTGTTAGTAGTGTGAGTAATAAAATACCCATGAAAGAAGAAAAAAGAGTTTATAATAATATATTATAAGACGATGCCTGAATAAAAGAAGATTACTAACGCATTTATTTATCACTTTCTACGCCGACCTGTAACAGTTCCTTATTGAACACAGACTTATTTGAATATTAAACCTATAGTGAGACATACTAATTAATTATTATGTTTTCGGATCGCGGAATGCTACTCATGGATATGCCTCTAGCATGGCTTGAAATTAGTCTAATTCCTCGTCAAACAGTTACGCGAAAACATAATAATTAAACATACCTATTTCCAATAACATCAATGAATATCGTATCCAACCACTACCAGTCAATTCGCGAATCTCGCGTCTCCCTACCTGGCTGGAGGGGTCGCGTGTAAAACTAAGTTAAGTTAGCACAAGGAATTCCTTTCCTTTCTTCTTCCCTTCCTCTTCATCTTCAACAACTGAGTGATTGTGAGTGATCTTCAGATTGCGCCAATTTTGCTAGTTATTTGCTCTTGTTTGTCACATAAATTATGAAAGAACTAAGAGTAAGGCCAAAAAGAAGGAGAAACGAATTAGGTAGACAAGTTACGTGATGAGCAGTTTGTCTGCAATTGAAATAATGACAAACACGGGTCGTAGACTATTTGCTGGTCGTGAAATTGCTCTTGAAGAGTGAATACGTAACAATAGCTATTACGTTGTATTATCCAATCAGTTGCAGAGTGCCGGGTTAATGAACTTTCGTCGCCGTTATCATTTGACTCAGTGTATTGTGAATTATGAAACTTTTTATTAAGAAGTTTTTTTATCAGACCTTTCATAAAGCTTTGTGTGATGAATGTTAAGAAGGAGGTTTCTGGTTTAATACCTGGACAACGAAAGGGTTATTTAGTCAAAAGACAATGTTATTTATCAAAACAGTTATATTTATTTCTGTTTATAAATAAGAATTCCAAAAATTGGAGTGTCCAATAATGTCCACCATCATTCACTAGATGCGATACTAAAAATAGGGAGACTAATTTCTAAAATAGTTGTTGTAGATTATGATAGTTCCATAGTTACCTGCGATGTGAATTTGTAAGGAAAAGTCTTACTAATTCACTGAACAAGTACAAGTAGAATATTGAATATTATTCTATTTTTTTTTTTGCAAACAATTCAAAAATACACAAAGAATTATAGATCTTTTGCAATTTTAAATTTAATCTGATCTTAGTCATAGCTAATTACTTTCAAATGATCATTTCACTACAATGACAATTGATTTACAATTCAATTCTAAATATGTTCTATCTTTAAACTTGTTCAATTTTATTTTCGCACCATCTAAAAGCTGGATTAAATAACGATCTCTATAGCATTGATCAGTTTATTCCTTTTCCTCTGGATGGTATATTTTGTCGATACTTTATTTATAAAAATAAATAATTTCTAATCCAATTCTTCTTTCCAGGTCGCCAAAAAGTAAAGAAGAATGCGAGACCGAAGCCCTAAAGTCGGATCCAGAGGGGGATCCGGAGGCCAAAGAGGGTGGCGCGGGAGCCCTAGAAGCAAAGATGTCCCTTATGAATGGCATCACCGTTATTGTAGGTTCCATCATTGGAAGTGGTATCTTCGTGTCACCAACTGGTGTACTGAAGTATACTGGTTCAGTTAACGCTAGTCTGCTGGTATGGATTGCTTCTGGAGTTTTCAGTATGGTAAGTACTCAGATGGAATAGTATTTTTTCTTATAATCTGATTGTCACGCTATGATATAATCTATAGGTAAAATTTAGGTTAAAGATCTACGTAAGATTAAAACAGAAAAAGCTTTCCTACAGTATTTTCGACGTGTTTTGCAAAAAAGAAAAGGTTTAACAGATTCCAGAAAGCAATTTCCATTTAAAATCCGATCCGGATCCGATTTGCATTGGTGGCATTTGTTTTGATTTATATAGGAACAACGAAATTATCAGTAAAACTTTTAGTATGTTGTACCCACTGACTAGGTAATATGACTTAAAAAAAAATGTACTGTTTCACGTTAATCTTGACATCCGCTAATGACTAATTTTAAAATTTTCATCAAGGACATTATCTTTATTTTTATATACATTCGTGAATATTGTAATAATTTATTCGAATGAAATTAATATTAATGACGTTATTAAATTAAATACTTAAATGTTTAACCTAATTTGTATGTGACATATCACAAAACATAGATAGTCAATATTATACCATGAAATGTAACATCCCATTGTACCTATGTTTACAAATAAATATTTTCATTTTCATTTTCATTTTCATATTAAAAATGTCTGCAATGTCGATTTAAAAAACGACTCCATTCCTCAAAATATACATTTCCTGTAGAATCACTGTAGCTACTTTTCAAATTAATATCTACGTTCTGATTAATTTGAACTACAAAAGCTTTAGAAGGAATTTATGAACGGAGTACCTCAGGGGACCTATTAGGACCTACTTATTTTAAAACCAGTATAATAAGCCAATCTGAGAGAGCTAGCAACAAGAAATATTGCTTCCATTCTCTGAGGAGCTTATTAAATTTGTCGCTACACCACGGCTTATTATTAAAAATTCTCTCAACTTGTAATTTATATTTTCTCGTTTTGGGTATTTCATAGTTATGGAAAGGTATAAATAATTCTTTAAGAAATTGTTCAGTTCAGTTCAAAAGGTTCAGTGGTCGCAAATACGACTGACGAGAAGTCTTGGTCGTCTTACATTTCGGGATCGAAAAAGTCCTTCTAGGGATTTTTCGATTTCTCAATAATAGTACGTTGTTTGCAATTGTGCCTGGTTGATAGTAATTAAGACGCCCACTTCTTATACATATATGAGAGTGCGGGTTCGAAACCTACCCACAACAAGTACCAATGTGACTTTTCCGAATTATTTGTTCTTTCAAAGATTATTTAGACACCACTGACAAACGGTGAAGGAAAACATCGTGAGGAAACCTGGCTTACAATTTCTAATTGTAAGTTTGTAATTGCCAACCCGCAATGAGTAAGTGTGGTGATTAATGCTCAAACCTATAGGCTATTGATGATGATGATAATTAGGGCATTAAATGAAACTCACAACCAAGAAAAGTGGGTATAGTATGTCATGTTATAGGACTCAATTCTTTACAAAACTGTACTAAGTTAAGTACATCAATCACAACATTAACTATATAATATATTACCAGTTGAACCTGTATGGATGTATGTATGCTTATGCACGTTTATCTGTCGATTGACTGAACCAATTTTGATGCGGTGTCCATGAAAATGTGTGTTACACTTAGGAGAAATTATATTTTATTATATTAATAAAGCGACTACAAAAGAAGACGGGGGCTGAAGTCAGTTTTTCTTAAACGTAGCTTATAAAAAAATAATTTTGAACTTGTCTGCTATCAACACAGACAATTTAGACATACATACAATCCACCACGTGTTTAAATAAAATGAAATCACGTACATTATTATCGTATAAATATGTCGCTATCTATCACATGGCGGAGCAGAACAGATTGTGAATCTACAGGAGTGGTGAACTGTTTAATGAGGAAGAATTTACAATTGATCTTAAAGATAGAAGTTTATTTTATCCTTATGGTACTTACTGTAGGAGATTGTTATCTTAATTGTTAGTACTTTTTGTTTATAAATAGTTAGGTGAATGAACTTTAAAGAATATAAGTACTTATAATACAAATTATATTTTAACTTTGCTTCGTCAGTTATTCTGTTAGTAACGAGTAACCTATGGAGTTTCTTGCTTGTTCTTCTCCACAGGAATCTGTACTTTAGAACGAGCAAATAGCTTCAGAAATGAATACTACTAAATAGATCGAAGATCATAGTCTGCAAATCTTAACATAAAAACTATTTCTTATATTGAAAACGCGAGCAAAACCACTGTCAGAAGCTAGTCACTATTTCAATAAGTCGAACATTTGATCTTTGATCAAGCAATTGCAAAAGTAGGTCTCAATTTCATTTCGGAGAATAATTGAAAATCCAAAATTTGGCTGCATTGTAACTACTGGTATTAACACAAAACTGCCCTTCAAGTCAAAGTCAAAATCATTTTTTTCAATTAGGCCAGGATGGCAGTTTTGAACGTCAAAATAAAATATTGAAATATTTAAAAAATTACCGTCTGTCGATCAGTCCTCTCAATCAGAACTTCTACCAGCGGTTTTGCTCGCGTTTCCAAGATAAGAAATAGTTTTTATGTTAAGATTTGCAGATTAAGATCTTTGATCTATTCAGTAATCTTCATTTCACAATAATACTATTAGATATAAGAAGTATTCAATCCGATCCCTGACTCGATGAAAGCACTAATGAGATTTCGATTCCCTTTTTGATCATTTTACAATATCACACCCTTAATTGTAAACGTTGGGGATCCCTGCGACGCAGTGATAACGTAGTGACGTAAATAGTTTAAAACAACAGCCAAAAAACTCACATAACAATAATAATTAACTATATTATTATAATCATGTGACTCTTGTTGTAAATACGCTTATCTACGTGTTTCTTTAAGAAATTAAGACCATGGGCCAATAAACTACGTGTAAAAAAAATGTGTTATTAAATTAACTACAAATCGCCAGTTACTCATGTGAAGATACTGAATAAGCTCTACTAGTTTCGAGCCGCAGAGGGGCTCTTCCTCTTGAGCAGCGTGCGTGAGTAGGCTGCGCGGTATCGCCGCGGCCTACTAGTAGAGCTTTTCTCAGTATATTCACGTGAGTAACCCGCGATTTTTAGTTAATTTCGTATGTTTCACGATAGTTTTCTATAAAAATATGATATTGTTCCAAGATTGAGACAAACAATAAAATCCTATTCCTATGTAATAAGGGGTGGGCCTATTGTTATATCGCGCACAATTCTAGACATAATGCTAACATACAATTTCCTACCTATATTTTTTATTTTTCACCCACGATCCGGTGATTGATCTAGAACTCGATGAAGGAGGCAGTCCTGTCAAACAATGTATAATAAATAATTTAATAAAAATTATTCTGAATTCTTTAATAACATTGTGGTGTTTGTGGTTGTTTTACCGGAAACATGTTGCAACCAAGCGGTCTGCCATAATTGTTATGACTACAAATAAACCAATTTGTTATTAAATCATATTAATAATTATATGTTTAAATACTACATTTATACATATAATTATTATAATATAATAACGTTACCATAATTTTAATTCATTGTAAAGTCAAATTTAAAGTCAATGCATATATTTCAATTAAATCATAATTTGCTACTTTTGACATAACAAAACATCACGCCTTTTATCCCCGAAGGGGTAGGCAGAGGTGCACATTATGCCACTGAACAATGTAACACCCACTTATCACTATTTATGTTATGAGTCCCATGTAATAGGGGATGAGCCTATTGCCATATACCGGGCACAATTCCAGATTCCGTGATACTACTGAGATTTTTTTAAAAACCCAGTATATCTTTGCCCGACCCAGGAATCGAACCCGAGACTCCTTACCCGGCAGTCGCACTCGCGACCACTCGGCCAACGAGGTAGTCCTACTAACCTACTTTCGAAATCTCAACAAATACAAAATAAATACTAGTCCGTCAGTGAAGCTAGGGGCTCGTTCCATATTGTAGATTCGAATGGAGAAGAACGAGCAAGTCACTCCATTCGTTCTCAACTTAAATTATATAATTCTCATGATTTGCGCCGCGGAAGACTTAACGGGTTGCCGGGGCTCCGGCTTGAAGTTCAAGAATAGGAACGGGGTGGTTTGCAGTCAGTAAGAGTCTGACACTCCCTCCCGATGATTTCGATGATTTCCCCCCTAAAAACAAAAAAAAAAAATGTCATGCTGTACACGCCTCACAAAAAAAAACAAAACGGAATCTGTTGAGTGGGAAGGAGGAACTAACTTACACAGAACCATTCGAACAATACTGTGTTTGAACTTTGAAAATATCAAAGTTTAATTAACAAGATATCTCGTTCATGCTACTTATAAAACAGTATCTGACACGTGTCTGTTGTCAGAGGGATAAGCAGAGGGATAATTGACAGTTAACAAGTTGCTCCTGCGAGCCACAGCGCAAATTTCTGATTCATGGTACTTGGTATTTAGTAAATATTTGTAGAATAAGGAAATAAATTTGTGTTCGTAGTTAATATTTAAGAAACTAGCGACCAGCCCCGGCTTCACACGGGTGTAATATGCATGTATTATACATATAAACCTTTCTTAAGAATCACTCTATGTATTAAAAAAACCGCATCAAAATCCGTTGCGTAGTTTTAAAGATCTAAGTACACATAGGGACAAACAGACGGCGGATAGTGACTTTGTTTAATACTAGAAGAAGAAGAAGAAGAAAAATCATTTATTCGACAGTAGGCACGCACACAGATACAAAAAAAAATACAAAATTAAAAAAGAAAATGACAAATAAATAAGTGTATTTATTAATATATAAATAAGTGTATTTATACAGATATAGAAAAAAAAAACACAAAGAAACGACAACTACTATGTAGTGATAATGAAAAATCTTTCATCACTCACGACAAAATCTTGCCATAGTTCGCGAAGCACTAGCTTAAGTTGTCTCTTATTTGTATGATACAAAGTGTTATCAAATCCTTCAGAAACGACAATATACACACAGGCGTAAACGGAACTCTCGCGAATCGCTGACAATAAGAAATAGACAATTGGGATGACGACAGGGTATGAAAATTAAAAATCTAATTAGTCCGTAAGTTTAAAAAATATTAGACACGTATTTTTTTATTTTGTCGTATAATAAAACAATACATAGATAAAACGAATCAAAGTTTAGGAGTGGGGGCTAAAACGTCATTTCTACGTATAAAATGTACATAAAAGTGACGTCACACGACATTTCAAATCAATATATCGTGGAAAGTATTCGTTTCTGTAAGAAAATAAAAAATACGTGTGTAATCTACCATTAAAATAATCTACCAGACGGACATTAAAATAAAAATTAGTCGTCTACCCTATTTTAATCGTTTTTTCGTGTTAATCATGCAACACCAGCCTTGAGCAGTGTACTTTTAAAAAAAAATCGTTACCTCACACTAAGATTTTCTCCCATGTCGTGGATGCGTTTACAAACATACAAGTTCAGTTACATATGGCACCTAGACCCGGAACAACAATTTGGCAATCACACATAGAGTTGCTCCGTGCGGGAATGGAACACGCGACACGTTGCGTTGCAGCTGGTTGTCCAGCCACCGCAATAACCGTGTTGTCATTACAACTATTATTACACAAAAGAAACATATTTAAACTGTCAAACACCGAGCGGTCACCGGTGACCGCAACCTATTGTTCTATAATTGTGTCTACAAAACCCGTACTCGACGAGTTAAAACAACATACATAAAACAACATACAACAACATACAAACATACATAAAACAAACATCCTAAAATAATTGATGAAAATAAATCCTTTCCATCCTTTTGACCATCACCTGTCGGCGGTTTTCGGAAGCCTTCCAATTACACCCTGTATTAATAACAGTCCTTTAACTTCTTGCCAAAATGTTATCAGAATAAATTGAAGACAAAATATCAATAACTACCTTTTTATTTCTTTCTCCAGATAGGAGCCTACTGCTACGCGGAGCTGGGCACCATGATCAGACTGAGTGGAGCTGACTACGCGTACATCATGGAGACGTTTGGACCATTCGCTGCCTTCATCAGGCTCTGGATTGAGTGCATGATCGTCAGGCCTTGCTCACAGGTGAGGAAACGTGGAATTATGATGCTCTTATAATAATAAGGACTACTGACATATAATCAGCAAATACGCATATGCAAGAGAAAAATGCATGATATAGGACTTTTTGAAAATAGATATTAAAATAGGCGGTCGGCAGGCCACAATTGTGCGCTTCTCTTAGCAGCGTAGCTTTCTGCCTCGCACAGCAAAACTGTGGAATGATCTGTCGTCGGCGGTATTTCCGAACCGATACGACCTTCAAACCTTCAAGAAAAGAGCGTATTCCTTTTTAAAAGAAAGAAAGAAAGAAAGAAGAAAGAAGAAGAAAAAGGCCGGCAACACACTTACATATGTCTCCTTCATGGGCGGCGCTGATCGCTTAGCTTCAGGTGATTCATCTGCTCGTTTGCCTCCTATTCCATAAAAAAGTAATAGCAATTTGTGTAAATTAAGGAATACAATAATATATAGGACTGAGGTAGTTTTGGATGTTTTGTGGTTAGAAAACTATTGGTTTATTAGAAAATTAAAACAGATATATGTATGTATGTGTAGGTACTCTACTAATATATGTACTTATTTTGTCTAACTATTGACTTGTGTAACGCAACACAGCTTACATAGAAACAAGTTTCCTATCAACGTTAGTTCAATACGGAAATATTATGTATTAGTGATTGATAAAATACATACACATTGTATTTAAATTATACGATAAGCTTAACGTCACCAAGTCGTATGCCCTATACCTCACGTGGCTTTTAACTAAGCCACGACTGCATTCTTTAATAATCCACTGCTGGACAAAAGGCCACTTTTGGCCTTAATTTCCTGCCTGTGCCTAATGCTATAATATGCTCGTTTACCGAACTTAAAAGATTCAGGCTAATCAGGTTTATAAGAGTCGTGGTATCCCGGAGGTTCAAGACGCCCAATTCTCATGCATGAGGGCGCGGGCTTGAAACCTAGCAACAGCAAGGGCCAATGTGACGTTTTCCGAGTTATTTGTACTTTCTAAGATTATTCAGGCACCACTGACAAACGGTGAAGGAAAACATCGTGAGGAAACCTAAGCTTATAATTTTTATTTATAAGTTTGACTTTGACAACCCGCATTGAGCAAGCGTGGCTATTAATTGTCAAACTTTCTCTTGCGAGACGAGGGCTTTGGTAAACGAGCTGACGGATTACCTGATGGTAAGCAACCGGCGCGATCCATGGACACTTGAGACACCAGAGGCGTTACAAATTCTTTACCAGTCTTTTGGGGCTTAGAAATATGAAGATTATTTCGGATTCAGAGATTGGAGAGATTGGGGAGGGAGTAATTGAGCCTCCGTTAACCTCAATCACACGGCGAAACACAACGCAAGCGTTATTTCACGTCGGTTTTCTTTTCTGTTAGACCGTGAATCACTCCGGTCGAGCCGACCCATTTAAATATACATATGTATATGAAGTAGGAACTTACATAGGCAAAAAACATGCTGTAGATATATAGCAAATAGCATGGAACCCTACGTCAGCAAGTTCGGCTGACATTACATCAGTTTTTTATGGGCAATAATGTTTATAGATTTTCATACAAGCAGCCGTACAAATTTCTTCTAGATAGCATCGAAGAATTAAATAGCAGTACATACAGCAATGTATTGATTGGACACAATTTGCGTGGGTAGGACGCAAATAGGAGGCTCAAAGCTCAGTAGCTTTCAAACATGCCCTCTTATACAGGGTGTAAATTTAACGCTACCGAGAAATACCAACAAAACAAATTGTTAGCGTTTTTTAACACAAGCCTAAAGCGGTTTAAATACAACTATTATCACTACATAGTATAAAACAAAGTCGCTAACCGCCGTCTGTCTGTCCCTATGTATGCTTAGATCTTTAAAATTATGATGCGGTTTTTTTAATTCATACATAGAGTGGTTCTTAAGGAAGGTTTATATGTATAATACATGCATAATATAGTAGAGAAACACAGTTCAATTTAGAGGTTTCTAATTTAGCCTGTGCGAAGCCGGGACAGGTCGCTAGTTACTGATAAAAGAACATTTAATTCCTTAGTTTTATGGCTACAAAACTTGGTTTTGACCATCACCTATCAGTGTTTTTCGGGATCATTACGTTTACATCCTGTATCAAGTGTCACTGGAAAATATTCAGTATTTGCTCTCTTTTTGTAGAATTAGGAATTAAATATACATTTTCATTACTGTTGTTCTCTGCAGGGATACGCAAAGTCTAGTCCTAAGAATAACGAGTGTAATAAAATATCAAAACCTAAAACTCCTAAATCGAAAAACTCGTATAAATATTTTCTACCTTCAGAACTTACCATTTAGATCTCATAGACGGATGTGTCAATATGATTGATGTTGAAATATTGTCTCCCACGTATAAAATATTGAGCAAATAATAGAACCTTTACTCTATCCGGAGGTGTCAAAAGACCAAGCAACATCACTCTATGATAAACCTGAACCTTTTGAAGTAGGATTTCCAATCCGTATGCCGAGTGTGGACCATATCTTTTTATGTAGAGAAGGCTTTTACTGCAGCAGTGGATTGCCACGGGATTTTTATGAATTAGGCTTTTAACTGCCGACACAGACTATTAACTCGTCGAGTACCGTCATTATTGACACAATTATAGAACAATAGGTTGCGGTCACCGGTGACCGCTTGGTGTTTGACAGTTTAAAGGCTAATCCTCCGACCGACACTAGTCGGTGATTATTGTCCGACGGCATCAATTGTAAGTTAAAAATCTATATTTCCTACTGAATTAGTTCATCTGTGGGCTGACTTGTACGTATGTATGTATAAAACTCCAGACGTTAGGGGAGATGGGAGAGGGGGGTAAGTGACGCATTCTCTTTGCGTAGGAGAGACAAGTAAGGAATAGAAATTACAGCTCCAGACACGGTCAGTAATCTGATTAAAGATGCCATTTCATTCGTCGAGAAAAGAAGGTTTTTATTATTTATTAAGTGTACTTTTTATTGCTGGAATTTACACTTTGTTCTTTGCGTGATAGGTTCGATAATTGCTTTGCTGTGTACTTCTATGTACGTACTTCGTACTTCTAATGTATATGAGTTGGGTAAATAATAAATACTGAATGAATGTTGTCAAATTAAAGGTAACATTATAATTATTATCGTTAGACATACTAAATTAACTAAAATGGCTTACTCATCGGTTCTCACTTATCGGTTACTTACGTGAATATATTGAGTAAAAGGTCTACTAGTTTCGAACCACAGAGGGGTTCTTCCTCTGTACCTCTGTTCACGTGAGTATCCCGCGATTTTAGTTAATTAACAATATAATAATTGTAAATCTTGGATGCTAGTACTATTTTAAGCATCCCTTCCAAAGCGTGGTCCACCCACTGAACACTATTTTTCAAAATACAAATAGCTTACAAAATAAACAGTTGCTCATTTATTTCAATAAGACATTTGTCAACGGCAGGATTTTCTTTCTTTATAACAAAACAATATGGCCGCAGGGATTTATTTTACAACTCTGTTGGCATCTGCTATTGGCGCCCAGCGTGGGACTTTATTTAAATGTTATTTCTATTGGTATCCTTTACTGTGACTTTATATTGAGTTTTATTTGTATGTAAAGTTTATTGAAGAACAATATTGGAGTCGGAAATAGTTATATATTTTGTTTAACTTACTGTGAAGGTTTTATTGTCGCCCAACGCGGGACAAAATGATGTTGGATCTAGTAGAAATGTGGCAGTAAATATTAGTTGTTTGAATAATCAAATCCCTATTATAAAATAGGTACAAGGTAGTTCTATAGATATCTAAAATACATGTTGTGCAATACTGTTTAAAAGAAGTAATACATGGAACTAAGAATGACCAAATTAAAATGGCCATGTATAAACAAAACAAAAAGAAAACAGAAACACGTTAGAAGAATGGGTAATAATCGACACCAATTTTCTTCACCAGAGCACTTCATCCCAACCATAATCGATATCTATTTTCTTCGTTCAGAAAATACTTCTTCTTTTCTAACAAAAATACCATTTGATGACAAGGCTCAAGGGATTACTTGTCCATTATATCTACTGTCTCACAGCTTGGGAACTTTGTCACGAATGACGTCATGAACATAGAGTATAGCGAGTAGGAGTATTCTCTGTGTGTAGAATAATAATATGTTGAGAAGAGGCCTCTCAGTGGTAAGGAGGGTAAAAGGTTGGTTTTCCAGGCTAAGATTTTACCCGATTACGGCAAAGTACTTAATATGATTTCAATTTAAACCCGGTTTAATAAAATTCTATTTTACACTATGCACATTTTGCCAATTAATTTAAGTACGTAGTGATAATATTACAGTAACTATAGGAAGTTATACCAGTAGAGTAGATAGTAGTCGCGGAGAACCTAACCGGTTACCGGGGCTCCGGCTCGACGTGCAGGAGAAGGAACGGGCTGGTTTTTAGTCAGTAAGAGTCTGACACTCCCTCCCGCCTCACCCAGGTGGGAGAACTCATTGGATGATTTTCACCCCTTAAAAAAAAGAGCAGACAGTAGTGCCACCTATGCTCCAATTAAACAATATCATCAGTCTGAATACTACGAAAAATTGGCGCCGCCACTTAGATGTTAGGGGGATACCACCTAATCAATTCAGTACAATTAACACTTTATCATTTTAATTCCCACATTAAATTTCTACTTCGCACAGCAAAACTGTGGAATGATCTGTCGTCGGCGGTGTTTCCGAACTGATACGACCTTCAAAAAAAAAGAGCGTATTCCTTTTTAAAACACCGGCAACACTCCTTTGACTCCTCTGATGTAGCAGGTGTCCATGGGCGGCGTTTATCGCTGACCATCAATAGATATGTATATAATTATTTAAGAAAAATGTATATTGTATGTCCATAATCATTTACAATAAATTACCAAATAGTTTACAAGAATTACCATTGACATTATTTAAGAAAATGCTTTTTAAATTTTTGCTATCCAAGAGTCACTATAGTATTAAGGACTATTTAGAGGTAGAAGATAAGACGATAGAATCTTGATAGTGTAATTTTAATTATAAATTTGCACGCCATATACAGCAGGATACGCTGTAAAAAAAATGTACTGTAACACCTTTTGTACCGTATTTTAGCAAATAAACATTTTTGATTGATTGATTGATTGATATCACTGCTCATTTGCCTCCTATCAAAAAAAACCCTAATGATACCGTACTCCTTACTTTCATACTCCACGGTCATAGATACAAGATACTGACGTCATCTTTGTTTCCAGGCGATCGTGGCGCTAACGTTCAGCGTGTACGTGTTGAAGCCAATATTCCCTGAATGTGACCCGCCTGAGGATGCCACCAGGTTGCTCGCTGCTTGCTGTATCTGTGAGTATCATTTCATATCATGGTATCATGGTGAAAGTAAACTGTTTGTATCTGAAATGTGTGATTCTATTGTGAGCTTTTATGAAATCTTCCCTCGCGATTACGCCAATGTGGGTAGGTAAGTCAAAGACAGAGCATTTATTTCAATTAATTTACATTTGGGGATCCTTTTATCGTGATGTTTACATAAAATCACACCTTTTATCCTATGTATATGGCAATAGGCTCACCCCCTATTACATGGGACTCATAACATAAATAGTGAAAAGTGGGTGTTACATTGTACAGTGGCATTAAGTGAGATGATATGCACCTCTGCTTACCCCTTCGGGGATAAAAAGGCGTGCTATTATGTTAACTAATACAGAAAATTAAATAAAATAATTTAAATGAAAAGAAAAGGAAAATATTTAACTTACGGCGTCGAAAGAATTATCTCCATCGCAGTCGTGAGGACGGGTGCCCAAAAGACTGGCAGTAAAAATAAAATTCAGTTATAAGTCGTTGATATGAACTGTAGAAAAGATGAGCGAAATAATATCGATTTCGTGTTCACCAATCTAAACTGTTAAACTTTCATCCCTGTTTCCACTAATTAAGTTATTGCTCAAACAAATGCCTCCTAGGAAGGTATTTGGAGAGATATTCTGGCCTCACTACCGTAGTAATCAACTTTGAGGAGACGTGATCTGAATACTGATACGATCTGGAAGTTATTGCGTGAGGCCTATGGTCAGCAGTGGACATTCTGCGGCTGATAATTATAATAACGATGTGATGGTATTAATTCTTAATTCTTACATACCATACATATATAACATCATGTCTTTTATCCCTAAACGGGTAGGCAGAGCACCAGGGCACTTTTCACTATTTATGTTATGAGTCCCATGTAATAAGGGGTGAGTCTATTGCCATATTCCTGGAACAATTCCCGACTCCCTGCTACTACTGAGATGTTTTTAAAAACCCAGAAATACTTTGCACGACCCAGGAACCCGAGACCTCTTGCCCGACAGTGGCCCTTGCAACCACTCCAACGAGGCAACGAGGCAGTCTTAATTCTTCTGTTACATTTTCTTATTTATTACGAAAGTCTATTTAATTGTTTTTCTTTCATTTCGCTTTCGTCGTTTGGTGAATATAAATTCTGTGACATATAGCAGTTTCAATAAAAAAAGTATTACATTTTTATTTTATAATGAACTAGCGACCCGCCCCGGCTTCGCACGGGTGCAATATGCATGTATTATACATACAAACCTTCCTTAAGAATCACTCTATCTATTAAAAAAAACCGCATCAAAATCCGTTGCGTAGTTTTAAAGATCTAAGCATACATACGGACATACAGCGAAAGCGACTTCGTTTTATACTATGTATGTATTGAAGAAGATGAAGGTCGTCCTTGTAGGTACATCTCACCACCTCTGACGGAGTATGGAAGTTGTGTTAATAAGTTCTGAGACACAATCTAAATAGCTTCCACGTTCCTTTCCGATCTGACTATGACGTCCGCGTCCCGCCTCACCCAAGCGGGAGAAGTAATTCGATGATTATCCCGCCTTAAAAAAATATAAAAATAAAAAACCAAACTCTGAACAATGAACTGCAGTGAATTGTGGGTGCGTTCATATGCATACAATTTCACATACGTATGCCTTCTGGCATACACGTGTATACCAAGACGTCGTCCGTATAATCACGTTACAATGCTACAAACTATTTCGATGATCCTCAACTATTGCAATTAAATCATGGTTTTATTATTATTTAGACTTTAAGACAGTTATAATAGAACTTGTAATCGGTTGTCCTCAGTGCTGCTAACGTTCGTGAACTGCTGGTCAGTGCGAGCAGCCACGAGGGTGCAGGACTGGTTCACATACGCCAAGCTGTTGGCTCTGTTCATCATCATCGCTGCCGGCATCTATCAGCTCTGCAGAGGTAAGTTCATCCATACCATGATCAGCCTGTGACCGTCCTATGCTCGCCTAAATTAGAGGGTTTGCCATCAAGACGATAGCAATTTAAAATATTCAGGTTAGAGGTTTTTAGCCATTGTCATCAAATTTTTTTTCATTTGCGACTTGAAGAAACTATTTGTGACGATGAGATCCTTATTCAAATATTCTGATTACCTTTTATCTATTTAGAATGCAAAAGATAAGGCCACCCAAATCTCATTGGATCAGTAGGTATTGCGGCTGTTTGAGGAACCCACTCTGACGAAGACCCCATTTAATTTTTGTGACTTTCTTTACTTGATCTTTTACGTACTTAAGTAGGTGACTAACCAATCAACAACTTTGATAATAAATCACACATAGATCGGTCGTATTTTTGGGAACAGACTGACTCATAGTTCAGGCGTCATGGGGGCGTAACGTGTCCTTGAAATTGCGACTGACCTTCATCCGCAGATTCATTTCATTGACTAATTACTTTCAACGATGAATCTGTCTCGGCAATTGTAAAGGTAATTGTAAAGTTTTCGCAGTAACAATTGCTCAATTACTGATTAAACAAATTGTTTAACCTTGGACGTTTAAAAACACTTGTTTAAATAGGAGTTAGTTATTTACTTGTGTATCTTAAACAAGTATTTTGTATGTAAGTTACGTATTGGAAGTGTCATTATTCGAATGACCCATATTTTAGGTGAATGAGCTGCAAATATTTTTGTTTGGCAAAAATATGAATGGAGTTAATTACGTACTTAATTGACTAGTATTATTTTTGGATGCATTACTTACAATAACAAAACAAACACTAAAAACACGTCATAAGTCAACATTAACATAATTTTAACATTGTCGTAACAGGTCCTTGATATGGTCCTAGGTATAGTCTCTAACGGGTTACCAGGGCTCCGGCTCAACGTAAAGGAGAAGGAACGGGTTGGTTTTTAGTCAGTAAGAGTCTGACACTCCCTCCCGCTTCACCCAGGCGGGAGCAGTCATTCGATGATTTTCTCCCCTTAAAAAAAAAGTCGTAGACTATAAGTAGAACAATGTTTTAGAGATAAAAACAATTTGGCTATTTAATTACATTTGTTATAGATTTTTAAATAAAACTAGGTACCAAAGCCTCACAATTTTCAATAATTAAATAAAATTGCGAACACTAAATCCATGAACGAGAGGAGAGACAATATTTTGTGAGGAATATTATTATTACGTGGCAATTTAAATGCCTTTGCCCTGCAGTGAGACGATCATGACTGAAAATAAAATAACAGTAACAATACATTTTTGCTCTTAAAACCAAATAAAACTATTAACAAACTATATAGTTCAACAAAGTAACACTAGACGTAGACAGTCGGCTGGAGAATTTGATTGCGTTACAACAATTACTCAATAATCAAGTGTTCGGACCGCGATAGTTTAAACTTGACCATGATCCACTTACGTTTATGCAAATATTACACGACTTAGAAAATTGATACAGCTGTTACATCATTAATTTTTATTGTCGTTTTATTGTAATTTCTATGTGGTAGGTGTTGTGTGAACTGATTTAGTAAAATTTAAAAATTTTAATATATTCGTGTTGAATTCTAACATTTGTTATTTCATGTTACTATTCAACTGACTGCCTCATTAGGGTTCGATTCCCGGGTCGGGCAAAGTATTACTGGGTTTTTCAAAAAAATCACAGTAGTAGCACGGAGTCTGGAAATGTGCCCGATATATGGCAGTAGACTCACCCCCTATTACATGGGACTCATAACATAAATAGTGTATAGTGGGTGTTACATTGTACAGTGGCATAATGTACACCTCTGCCTAACCCTTCGGGGATAAAATGCGTGATGTTATGTTATGTAATGTTACTATTCAAGTCCCGAATGAACAGATTGCTCATAGGTAGGCTCCATCGTCGGCCACATCATTGATTCCCACCAAGCGAGATGGTGGTCTAACGTCAACCTATCAAGTAGATATAAAAATAAACTTTTCCTCTGGATACATACATCATCTACTTTCTTCTGATTTCTACAGCCTTTTTCTGTTTCTAAGATTAGAATCGGCTCTATTAGTACCTACTTACGGCTTGATACTCTTGATAGTGACATCTTTTTTAATCATAATTGGGTAGGTAGTTGTAGGCAAGGACATTGAAAAAAGGCGAACGTAGTTTCTTGGAACAACGACTGTGGTATCCTTTTTTTTTTGAGGGGGGAAAATCATCCAATGACTTCTCCCGCCCGGGTGAGGCAGGAGGGAGTGTCGGACTCTTACTGACTAAAAACTACCCCGTTCCGACTCCTGCACTTCGAGCCGGAACCCTGGCAAACGACTGTGGCCCCTGGCTACTATAGACTTACACGCAGAACTTACACACATTGCCACGAAGGACATCTGTCATTTTCTTAAGTGTGCTAACGTGGTAACCCACAGATATATTAAAGAAGTGGTAACCCATGACACACGCACATATGAAAAGCCACTGATATTTTGGTGCATCAATCACTTCTAAATGACATTACGCCCGCGTTTTTTTGTCAATGTCCTTGATTGTAGGTTCTTTCTAGTTGCAATAATATAGTGACTCAAAGTGGCATAGGTTTTTTTTTATTTTGGTCGAGTAGTCAGATTATGGTTTTTTAATAATAGGTGGCTATTATTAATGGGGTTGTCGTTGCATAAGTACTAATTTTAATTTAGACCCAATATTTCTAGGTATCGTTTTTTCCTTATCGTGGGGAATACTTACGAACCAATTTTATCGATAAAGGAAATGCCTGAATTCTTTTATAACAATGAGGATAATGGGTTGCTAAAGTACAGTCCTTTATAAACAAAAACGATAAATATTTAGGTATATAAAAATTGATATGACCATTTTTGCTATCGAATTTTATATGGAAGTTGGTTAACGGACTTGTAAATGTGTACAAATCAAGGTGAAGCCTATACATGTTAAACATATTGGACACATTTTATATTTAAGTACACCATAGTCATAATATCTATGGGTGTGGTTCCTGAAAAATCTCGCCCTTGTACAAAATAGGACTAACATAGTAATTAAGTAACAAAAACTGTACAAGACCTAGCCTATACCTAATTTAGGACATCAGTAAAACAAACGTGTCATAAAAATACAAAACATAGCACCCATATTAACATAACATAACATCACGCCTCTTATCCCCGAAGGGGTAGGCTGAGGTGCACACAGAAGTAACACCCACTTTTCACTATTTATGTTATGAGTCCCATGTAATAGGGGGTGAACCTATTACCATATACCGGGCACATTTCCAGACTCCGTGCTACTACTGAGGATTTTTTAAAAACCCAGTAATACTTTGCTCGACCTGGGAATCGAACCCGAGACCCCTTGTCCGACAGTCGCACTTGCGACCACTCGGCCAACAAGGCAGTCTTCATAGCACAACATAGCACCCATATTCAAGACTGTACCTTAATTCAACCAGCTTTAATAAAAATAATGCCAATTGCAGAAACTCCTTGGTAATGAGTTCAAGTCGATATGATAGCGAGCTATTTCTATTGATAAAGGGAGCAATCCTCGAGTAAATTGAATTCAGCATCAATACAAAGCTCCGAAGATTGCTTATTGGAAGTGCTCAAGGGAAGTTAATTGATTTCTGCTCTATAGTGACTGGAATTTGAGACGCATTTGATAGATGACTGGTTGAAATATTGTTGTTGTATTTCATTAGTATTTAAGGTGTGGGAGAGCCATGCTTCGGCACGAATGGGCCGGCTAGAAGTCATACCACGGCCTCACAGAAAACCGACGTGAAACCACGCTTGCGTTATGTTTCGTCGTATGAGTGAGGTTACCGGAGGCCCAACCACTCTCCTCCGCAATCTAATCAATCTACAATAATCCTAAAATTTCTAATCCCAAAAGACCGGTAACGCATTTCTAACACCTCTGGTGTTTCATGTGTCCATGGGCGGCGCCGATTGCTTACCATTAGGTGATCCGTCTGCTTGTTTACCGGCTTATTACATAAAAAAAGGAAAAATAATGAGATGTAAATAAATATCTCACTGCTGGTAAAGACCTCTTCTCACAAGGAGAAGGAATGAGCATTAATCACTATACTTGCTCAAGGCAGGACTTTTAGAGTTAAAAAAAAAAACTTACTTACCACTTAGTTGCTTACTTACTTACAAACCATATCGTAGATAGATAGTTTGGATTTTTTTTTAAGGGCGGAAAAATCGTTGAATGACTTCACCCGCCTGAGTGAGGCGGAAGGGAATGTCAGACTCTTACTGACTAAAAACCACCCCGTTCCTACTCCTGCACTTCGAGCTGGAGCCCCGGTAACCCGTTAGGTTCTCCGCGGCAGATAGTTGGGGTTGGGGTGGTTTTTAGTCACTAAGTGTCTGATATTCCATCTCACGTTACCCAGGGCAAAAGAAGTCATTGAACGATTTTCTAACGTCAATCAAAAACAAAGATAACGTAGTTATAATTTTTTACAAGAATGTTTAAACCTCCCTCTATTACAATATAACAAGACAAGATACTTACTTAGATAAATATCTACTTACCTTATGAATATTCAATTTGATTGGTAGATACGTAATCATTGAATAGAGTTTCGTTTAGTAGGTAGTAAGTGTTGCAGTTCTACAAAAAATACTATGAATTGATTTCTCAGTATCTACTTAATCGTTACCTAGTAAGAGGGACTTAACCTGCACAAAAAAGAAACTTATTTTGAGGTAAAATTGACGTAAATTGGCGGCTGATGCAAGCTCTGAGACGGCTTAGAACAGACTTGCCCCAATCACTGACTCTGGTTCTTACTCCTCTCTATTTAGAAAGCGAACTCCTAAAAGCTACATACCTTTTACAGTACCTTTTGTGGGTGTCCATCGGCGGCATTGGAGTGCGCTGCCCTATCCCATTAAAAATACTTATGAATTAATTATTAACTATGTTTTGTTGTCATGTAACTGTTTGACGAGGAACTCGAGTAGTTTCAAGCTATGTTAGAGGTTCATATTCATATTCATGAGCAGTATTCCGCGACCCGCGACGCGGCGACTGTCGCGAAACTAGTCAAGCTTTTTTTTATGGCATAAACCGGTAAACGAGCAGATGGCTCACCTGATGGTAAACATTTGGCATCGCCCATGGACACCTGGAACGCCAAAGGCGTTATAAGTGCGTTACCGGCCTTTTGGGGATTAGGAGTTTGAGGATCGTTGGGGATTCAAGGATTGGGGAGATTGGGGAAGGGGAGGGTAATTGGGCTTCCGGTAACCTCACTCACACGACGAAACACAACGCAAGCTTTCATTCGTGCCGAAGAATGGCTTTCCCACACTTAAAGTTCCTCATCAAGTAGTAACGTGAGTACCTATACCGAAAACATAATAATTAATTTATTATGAATATGTTTTTCATGAAAATTGACTTAAACTCTAGCAAGATATGTACCTTACAAAACAAACTTTAATTCAGTAACTAAGGCAACAATCTAAGAACGAAACTGCACAATGCACAAATAAGATCCAATTCACACTTCCTCTGATGCGTGGGCGCCGCCGTCGTCAGCACAAAGCCCGTTATTAAATGATTGCTGCAATCCGGGACTTGGTCTCGTGTGAAACGAGATTACAATAGTCTGGACTATAATGGAAGATATTGGCTAGAATTGTGCTGGAATTATGGTTGGAGTACTTGGAGTGATGTATCGATGTCCATTGAGGTTCATTGCAAATTGGCGCTGAATGAGCAGTATGAGGTCCCTTAGTCATTCTATAAATGTGAATAAAGAGTTTTTCATTGCCATTTTTGTAGGATACTGCTGTTCTCTAGCAACCATACATGATTCTAGCAAGAGTAGGATGCTTCGGATAAAAAGCTACCCTTATATGATTATCGAAGCCTCCTCAAAAAAGTCGACAACGCAATTGTATCTCTTCAGGTATTGGGGGTGTCCATAGGCGAGTAAGATCGATCCCAATCTCAAGAAAAAAAAATTTGAGTTTTCATTTTTTTAATTTGAGTTTTTATTTTTTTAATTTGAGTTTTTATTTAAAAGTACCTAATCGTGACATTTTGCTCGTCCTCTCATCCGCACCCTACGGAATCCTTATATCAATGAGTGGCTGGAACTGTATTTAAATGTCCTCGGTTTGCCAACCAGTTAAGCCAAAGTACAAAATAACATAACATAACATCACGCCTCTTATCCCCGAAGGGGTAGCCAGAGGTGCACTTTACGGCATTTAATACGGGGCCACGTAATAGGGGGTGAGCCCATTGCTATATTATTAAGTACAAAAAAAAAATAGAAAAAAAATGTTGTACCGTACATCAGGAGAGCGCTTTCACTAATACTTGTTTTGATTATCTGTAAATAGTTTTGGGAGCTGTATTGCTCGCTGTTATAAAATATATGAAACTCAATTTGAATGTCTTTACCTTCCAGGAGAGGTGCAGCACTTCACGTTTGAGGGAACCACCAACGATGTGACTTCCATCGCGCTTTCCTTCTACTCTGGACTCTTCGCTTACAACGGATGGTAAGTCCTTTTTTACTCTATTCCATCGCTGGGCATCAGCTAAGGTTTCCATGAACTTAATGACTACACGGGGGGTGCAGTGGTTGCTGCGTAATTTGTCGTGGATTCGTTTCCCGTATAAAACAAATTGAAACAGTTCTTAGTGGCTCAGTGCAAGACAATCTTTATATTCTAGAAAATAAGTTGATCCACCTGTAACGCTAACTAGAACTATTCTAAATATATACCTACTTATTTCAATCAGTTCAATAAATGCAATGAAAGTCAAGAGTTTCTTTAGAAGTCAATAACTTTTAAATAAATTTGAAGATACTTCGTACTAATATCTTGTTATTGATGTTGAATGAATTGACAAACAAAACAAAACATTTATCATTAAACATTTTTAAAGGCAGCATGAAACGCAAGAAATACACTTTTTACAAGCTTGCGAAATATCTTTAAATTATTATTAGCTGGACCCGGAACGATTCGAACTCCTCCCAGATAGGTGCACAAGAAACTATACCTTATCATGAGTAAATAAATGATTGGAAAAATTCTAACCTTGATACCCTCTAGCTTAATTAATATCATATTACTAGCTTCTGCCCGCGACTTCGTACGCGCAATCAAGTTTTCTCCCGTCGTCGTAGGATTTTCAGGATTATTTTTAAGTCTTAAGAAACTTCTCCTAATAATAAGAAATACAACAAAAAAAGAATTAGTGAAATCGGTCCAACCATTCACGAGTGATGCCGTGACCAAGGGAAAATGGGATTAATTTTTATAAATAACTGCACTGCACTGTTGGTGCGGTGGCTGGGCAACCGGCTGCCTTGCAACGTGTCGCGGGTTCGATTCCCGCACGGAACAACACTTTGTGTGATCCACAAATTGTTGTTTCGGGTCTGGGTGTGATGTGTATGTGAACTTGTATGTTTGTAAACGCACCCACGGCACAGGAGATAATCCTAGTGTGGGACAACGTTTTTTTAAAATAAATAAAAAAAAAACAATTGAACTATTCCAGGAACTACCTGAACTTCATAATCGAGGAGTTGAAGGATCCAGTGAGGAACCTGCCCCGAGCTATCGCCATCTCCTGCACCCTGGTCACCGTGGTCTACACATTCACCAACGTCGCTTTCTACACTACACTCTCTCCTACTGAAGTAAGCAGCTTCATTTTTTATTTATATTATTTAATTAGCTGACCAGTCCCCAATTCGTGGGCGCTAAATAGCCCATGTCACTGTCCATCTTTTTAACTATATCCATTTAAAAAAAAACGAAAAAAAGTCTGCCTCGTTGGCCGAGTCTTCGCAAGTGCGACTGCCGGGCAAGGGGTCTCGAGTTCGATTCCCGGGTCGGGCAAAGTGTTATTGAGTTTTTAAAAACCTCAGTATTAGCACGGAGTCTGGAAATGACCTCTGACTCTGTTCTGCTACTGAGATTTTGTTCTGCTACTGAGATTTTTTTATAAACCTTGCTGTATTTTGCCCGACCCGGGAATCAAATCCGCATTCGCACTTGCGACCACTCGGCCAACGTCTAGGACTCCAACTTTGGACCAACGAAACATTACAGTTCTCAAATTACCCATTTAAAATTAATAATTTATTACACTTAAGTAGTTTAATTACTGATTAATTATTATTATTGATAGAAGACTTCATATTTTTGCGATTCAGACGTGGTTCTGCGTAGCAAGTCAAAGAACGTTTGAAGGTTAGCCGTAAACAATTACTATGATTGCTTCGCTTTACACCAAAAGTAATAGGTATCCGATACTCACGACCTTCAACCAATGACGGTTGCCAAATAAAAATGTATTAAATACTAAATACTTCAATTTTTAGAAACATGATTGTGGTAGAGCAGCGCCAAGTTTACAAAACGTGTGTGAAAGGTGTGTTAAGTGTCAATTTTTTCATCCATTTTTATAATTGTAAATGAAATATAGAGAAAGATGAGAGAAAATTTAATTAAAAAAAATAAAATAAAAAAAAGGTTGGTAGATGGAGATCCTTACTATATACCTACTTACTTCACTGATCAATGGGTACTTAGTAGCGAAACTACATAGAGAGAGAAACACTCAAAGAGATTCACGTGGCGTCTTAATTATGGAAAAATTAAGTAGAATATCTTCTTATAAGCTTTTTCTCTTTTGGCTAATATTGTATTCATCAACAGGTCCTCGGTTCTGCGGCGGTTGCTGTAACGTTCGCGGAGCGTCTGTTCGGTTGGTTTGCTCTCTCCATTCCTCTGTTTGTCGCTGCTTCTACCTTCGGAGCCGTCAATGGTGTACTTCTTACTTCTTCAAGGTAACTTCTCTCAACAATCTTTTAAAACAGAACGTCTATTGCGAATAGTTATATGAAAAAAAAATATAAATAAATGTATGATAATATTTGCTGTCTGGCACTGGCACCTCCATTCAAGATCTTAGTGATTCACATGTAAATATGTTGAAAAATGTCTGTTATGTGTAGTTTTTAGTCAGAAAATGTTCAATTTTTATAACCATTATCATCTCGCGGTCCGCGCGCGCCTCAAAGAGCCATCAGACTACCACGGATAGAGCCCAACAGGGCTGATGCCGATACGGAGCCGCGGAGGACTTAGCGGGTTGCCGGGGCTCCGGCTCGAAGTGTAGAAATACGAACGGAGTGGTTTTTAGTCAGTAAGAATCTCACACTACCTCCCGCCGTACCCAGGCGGGAGAATTCATTCGATGAATTTCGCCCCTTAAAAAATAATATGTTTTTATCCACAGACTGTTCTACGCGGGTGCCGCCCAAGGCCAGATGCCGGAGATGTTGACGATGGTGAGCGCGCGCGCGACGCCGGCGGCCGCAGTACTGGCCGTGGCGCTGCTCAGTCTGCTCTACCTCACTGTCTCCGACATCTACGCACTCATCAACTACGTCGGCTTCGCTACCTGGGTAAGGAGTGCTACTTTTTAAGAATAGACTGGAAAGAAAACTAGTCATTGACGAGGTAAGTAGAGTAAGTACAAGATGCTAGGGATTCATAATCATAATCATGAGCAGCATTGGGGTCGATTAAATAACGAGATTTTTCTCCGTTTGAGAACCAACTAAACTAATTAAACTATATAAAAAAAAAATTAAGGCACTCTTCACTCTTACTAAATTGGTCCAAATCTTAAGAATCGTTGTGTTGTGTCCATATTATTATAGTTTTTAAGTACCCATTTTTAAAATAAATTTCTCTTCCAATATAGTTAAGTATCGGCGCTGCAGTACTGTGCTTACCTGTGCTGAGGTACACACAACCGAATCTCGAAAGACCCATCAAAGTGAACCTCTTCTTCCCCGGTAAGTCAAATAGATAATATATAATACTTTATAACACAAATTACATCAATTCATCTTAAAAAATGGTGGGCAAACTGTGTTCAAGATCCTCGTAAAATATAAAAAGAAATCAAAGAAGGCCTGTAGTTAATAGCGAAAATGCTCTACAATAATGATTTAATGCTCTAGAGTCTAATGGTTAATTTAGCAATTCGTTTACTACATATAATACACTCAAGATTGAAAGACTGACTAGGAAAATCACGGTTCGAAATATTCTTATCTGATCTTTGTGATTAATTCCTTTTGCAGGCTAGTCGAGTAGGTGCCACAATTTGCCTACCATTGTCTTTACTATTGAACCGAAAGCTTCAACTAAGCTATGTATATCTTTCAATTCCAGTGATCTACATAATCTGCACAATCCTGGTGGTGGCGTTCCCTGCGTTCGCGTCTCCCGCGGAGACAGGCGTGGGATGTCTGATGATCCTCACTGCCGTGCCGGTATACCTACTGCTGCTGCATCCCAGGACCAGGATCAAGTGGCTCAGCTCCATCACTAGTAAGTAACATAAATAATTGGAAATTAAGATGGCGTTATTGAAAAAAAAACTGACTTCTTTTATGCTGGTAAAACAGACTAACTACCTGATGGTAAGTAATCGGCACCGCCCATGGACATCCGAAACACCAGTGGCGTTATAAGTGCGTTGCCAGCCTTTTGGAGATTAAGAATTTGAGAATTGTTGGGGATCCGGAGATTAGGGAGGTGGGTAATTGGGGCTCCCGTAACCTTACTCACACGACGATACACAACGCAAGCGTTGTTTCACGTCGGTTTTCTGCTCGGCCGTGGTATCACTTCGATCGAGCCAGCCCATTCGCTCTCCCACCTGTGTTTTCCACCTGTAATTCTATAATAGTAAGGTCGACTAATTACCATCGTAAACTTAATGTGAATGGGACGCAAATTGAGTTAGGCGTAGGTTCTTATTTTGATTTCGACATTATTAGTATTAATGTATCAGTACAGACTGCCTCGTTGGCCGAGTGGTCGCAAGTGCGACTGCTGGGTAAGGGGTCTCGGGTTCGATTCCCGGGTCGGGCAAAGTATTACTTAACTCGGGTTTTTACAAAATTCTCAGTAGTAGCACGGAGTCTGGAATTGTGCCCAGTATATGGTAATAGGCTCACCCCCTATTACATGGGACTCATAACATAAATAGTGAAAAGTGGGTGTTTCATTGTATGTACAGTGGCATAATGTGCACCTCTACGCGGCACCCCTGCGGGAATAAAAGGCACGATGTTATGTTATGATGTTATGTTATGTATCCAGTAATACATGTGTTCATTTACTTTATATTCTTTTGCAGATCTTGCCACCGTCCTCGTGCAAAAGCTGACTTTATCATCGCGACCCAAAATGAAGGTAAGATACATTTAATTATACATACATTACCATTTGATTAATTTAGACATAAGTCAATTTAAAGTACTTTTTGCCAAAAACTAATCTGTTTACTTTTTATTTACCTACAGTGAACGCATTCAACGAAATCAGCTGTCGACAACATATCCGACCATCGGTAAGGCCGCTCTACTTGTCTGTTTTATCAAGAGAGTACAAAAACAACAATTAATAATAATAATATTATACCTCATTTCAAAATTAAAACATAAAAAAAAACGCGACAGCTTTGCTTAGACTTGGCGGTGCACTACCGAGCCTCTAGGAAATAAAACTGTTATAATCAATGGTAAAACAGGCAAATATATGAGTACTTTTATATGAAAAAATACTGTTATTATAATATTATTATATCTATTTAATGTATATGATATAGATCGAAGTTCTATATTTGCGATTAATCTTTGCATAAAATTAGTCGCAATAGTGAACGATCGACTTGTTGTATGTTTTAAATAACTTATTAATATACTCAATTATGAAATGTAAAATTATAACAATTTGTGTATTACGTCATATTTGTAATAATTGATCAGTTTGAAGCACATTCCGATGATATATTGTGGGCTTATAGAGTTCTTTACAATATGGATCTTCGGGGCTGACATGTTCCTGAACGAAGACCCTAAAACCATAGATAATAAAAAAGATGGATCTTACATACAATATCGGTGTGTGTTGGTAATTTATGTATTATACTATTCCCTTCCGTATCTCGAATCGATGTATAATTACTGTTTGACATAAAAATACTGCCATTATAGTAATTTTCATTCTAATAATGAATGTTATGATTTAGCGATGTTGGCAACTAAAGATGAAAATGAGTAAGGTAGTAAGAAAATAAGCTTGAAATATTTATACTGATGTGTATAAACTAATAATTTAAATTCAGGGTGTTTGTACGTGTCTAGCTATTTGTGGGAGAATTTAATGGGAAAATTTACTGTAATTTTTTTCTGATTTGCTCTCAAAGTAATGCTTTTAGCATGAAACGTCTATTGAACTTCAATATTAAGTGTATCTAGCTGCAATTTTTGCCAAGGGTGTCGTCAAGGCCCGAGTGAATAGGTTTTAGTTGCTTATGGGACGACGTTCTCCATCACTGGCCGCATCATCGGTTACCACCAGGCGTGATAGTGGCCAAAGTCGGCCCATCAAATGTATATAAAAAATCATATAATTACGTCTATGCGCATATAATATTTTAATAGCAAATGATACAGGAAAATGCACTAATTTTAGATTAAAATGCTAGGTTACGTTAATTCTTATAATTTTATAACA